TTTTGTATGCATAATGTATATAATATGTATATATAATTTATTTGGTTTGTACAAACTAAACTATATTTATTCATTATTGACTTGTAGATAGTGATTATTGGATCTCATACGATTTTTTTTTCAAAAATAGGAAATACATGTTTTTTTTATAACYTATGACTTTATTTTAGAAAATATTACAATCTATAATAACTAATAATTATGGTAGAATTGTGTAAAACTATAAAAATGAATAGAATAGATGGCTGGAAATCTCCCATTAGACTCATTAGAGACACCTATTGGTTTTATACATTTACATCATATAAAATTTATAATTTATACAATTTCAAGGCACCAATTTCATTTGAGTCGCCTGGTTGGATTTCCGGGTAGTGCTGTTATGGCAATGTTCCTGATGAGCTGGTTGAGGGTTGATTCTAGTTTTGCATGGAATCGTATGGAGTATAAGGTATAGCAGTTTCATTGGCGGATGTGAACCATTTGCAGAAAAAAAAAAATTATTTATTTTGGGTACAGCACGTTTGCGCCAAAATAAAAACGGTATGTTTTTTCAGATAGTCCATTTGTRCCAAATTTACCTGGTATAACAAATTATATAATCAAGTTCTATATTTTTTTCTCAAATAATAATTAATACAAATTGTTTTAAAAAACTATATACTTATTACTAACTATTATAACTTATAATAAATAATAATAGTTAATAGTACTTACATATTTTTTATTAATTATAGTAAACTAATATTATTTTTTACAATATTTTCTTCTTCTAATAACAATCTATTAGGTATACAACTAATAATATCTTCCTAATCTTTATTGTAATTAAATGCAACTATTTGTACGTATTCATAACGCGTACCCCACTGTATCCTGATCGTATAACATAATAAAACTGGTATAAAACTTGTTTGGGGATGTAGTGGCCGGGCRGATTCAGGTGTCGGTTGAGACGCGCACCGTCGCGTCGCCTGTTCGAATCCTGGTCATGGGCGGCATCGCGCTTTCCGTGCAGTTCACGCTATCTGGAAAGAGAGGCTGCCRCCCCCCACCCGGGCAAGGCAAAAACCTATGGGTGCCCATTCGAAATTCTCTGCCAAAAACACTCACCTTTTCCCTCCACCACCATTAAAAAAAACCTACAATACCACCCTCATCCCAACGATGGCCTATGTTACCGCTGGTTAATAACAAAAAAAATTGTTTGCCTTTCAACGCAATAATATATAAAGCTTTAAAATCTATAGACTAAAAAAAATAACTTTACTATACTTTACAGACACGACGTCTTTAAAATTTAATAAATAACCAAGTCATTAATTTAAAATGTTTAAGCAGGTAAATTTGGCGCAAATGGACTGTACYCAAAACGAATTAATTTTTTTTTGGTACAAATGGGCGATGCCCTCATTTGAAAGAGCAGATTTTTAGGTCAAAGATTGCATTGTTTGAGATAAACCATGGCGTTCCAGTGATTATATGACACCAGATATTCTGAAAGGCTTTGAAAGATATCTTATTTGATATTTTAGCAGAACTCCATATTACTACTTCGTTTACACACAGAGTGGTTATAGGAGAGTTGTATATGGTATGAGTTAAGGGGTAATATGTAGAAATACCTATGTACAAAAACTAAATATAGGTTAGGTATATATACTAAAAAAAAGAGAGTGGTTCGTAATAGATAATAACCTACTTAAATAATATATTGTATATAATATGTTACATGATGTTAAATTGATAATGATATTGAATAAAMATTTTATATGCAGATAATATTAATTTATTAATTCTTAGAAATATATAAAAATATTTAAAATTCTACGTAATATATACGTAACTACGTAAGTAGCATATTATTTACTAATATTTTTACATTAAAATTATTATATAAGTAGCATATTATTAGCATCTCGTATTATTTACCGTTCATTTATATTTTATTTTAAATAAGCAACTGATGTCAAGCTAGGCCCGTCGCTAGGACACAAGCAAGTCGTGCGTTTTTTTGTCGGGCGGCATATTATGTTAATGAAATTGAAGCCAGCAAAATTAAATAAATATCGATAAAGAAGATCGGCATTAAAGTTTCCCTTTAGTGTGAAAAATATCTGACGACGGGCCTGTGTCGAGCGACTTTTTTTTTATACGACACGTAACTTGCAATAATTTAACTTACTAATTTACTATACTTGAAAGCGATCATATTTAATAATTCGCTGTTGCRAGAAATGATTGACAAAAGATACATGCATATTTWAATTTTAAATTTTAAATGTGGTTTGACGTAAACATATTACTCAGGATTGATTAACTTTTTACTATTATAAATAATTAAAGACGTGCAAAAATRTTGACGATTTGAAATACAGTTTTTAATTCTTATCGGACAAATTTTAGTGTTTGTACCTAAATATAATTCAACGGTTCWTAAAATTTTTTTAAAAATTAATATTACCTTGTGTATTCATACCCTAACAGGCCTAATAAGTAACAGCCAAATTATGAAATTCCTATTATCTTTTGTTTAGAAAGAAAAAACAAGTTTTCAGTATTATTTTTTTGTTTATTTAATGTACGTACCTACATTATTTTTGTTTTGTTGWACATGCATGATCACATTCATCCATTACTTTAATGTGTTTATTATGAATTATCATGTTTGCGTAAATGAGTTAAGTAAATATTTTTTAAATACATCCATACATTTGTTTGTGTTAGTGAATTGTAACATCTAATTAGATTTATTATCTAGAAATCAACAATATTTTTTTATACATTTGCGTGACCTACGTCATATATACCTAGTATATATGCGCATATTATAATATATGATATTTTATGAAAAGTATTCGAAATAAATTTCTTTTAAAATTCAAATTGTGTTAGTTGCCTATTTTTTAAATTTAAAGTTCGAAATATTTATAACAATGTACATATTATAATGTATTAACGAAATCAATTTATGTCAAATTGCTGTGACTCTAATTATTACGAACAAAGTCAAACACAAATGCTATCTAAACCCTCAAGTTTTGTAGCAAAAATTATGTGGTTGGGTTTTTTTTTTTAATCAGCTGAACTCGTGAGCAGTAACATGGGCGTTATTGTATTTTAGTACCAACATAAAATATACAGATCATATCCAATGCGAGTAGTATAGCAGCAAGGTGCCAGGGGTGTGTATTAAGTATGAATTGGTAGGTAGTCTGAAATAAAACATCTTAAATTCCGAAACACAATATCACAACATGTAGACAGTAGACATCGTCTGTGTATTTGAAACGACTGTACCACATAATTTGTGAGTCGGGTAACGGCGGGGATGGATTATCTCCAGTCTGATCAGCCGCGCTATAGAAAATAACAACCACTAAAAAGCGAAATCCTACTTCGAAAACACTGCAACAATRGCTTCAGAGACAACCACCACCGTTGTTTCGATCGACCGAGTGTAATAATAAAGTAGTAGGATCTACCTATACATATAMCACTCCTATAATTCCATTGGGTAGGTAGACAAAGTATTTTATCATAATATCGTATAGTACAATAATATAATTTTATGTTGTGACGTCGGACAACCCTATAGGCATACACCGTGTTCAGCGAGAGAATTAATGAATTCTGCGCATCCCCCTGCGTTACTCTACTACAGAAACCGGTTCTGCTATGACTGTGCGTCGTCGTATGGGGATGCGCAGAAGAGCTGATTTCGGTCGGATCGCCGCTCGTTCTCTCGCTGAACCTCAGTGTCTGCTGGTATGTACCGTGTTGTTAAAAAATCTGATGGAAGAGGTAGGAGTGAAATATAACTTAAATCGTAGTATTAACATCGTTTACTACACTTAGGCTAGATGAAGTTGACGAGGTGAAGTTTGGAAATATTTGTGGGGAAGAAGTAGCTGAACCGTCGAATTTACACATATGCATAATAACTCCCTCCGACCACTCCACTGAAATATTTTTAAATGGAATTCATGATCCAAAAACTACGATGTGTGTGTAATATCACATAATCTATCAATATATAATATTATCACATGTATATACTCGTAGTAAAGGAGATTAGTGTGTGTGTGTGTGTTGCTGTGATTTATAGACTCAAAAACTATGCACCGTCGATTTTAACGAACGTTTCAGAAATAGTTTCAAAAGGTTACTCTTAAAGGGTAAAAATTCCATAAAGGTTTAGAAAGKAGTTGAAACTACGTTCGTTAGGGGGAAGTGTGGGACCGAACGGCGAACAAATTCCAGGAGGATTACCCACAYCGGTGGGAATTGTCCACTAAGCGCGAGGTACACTGCCGGAGACGATATACCCGCGAACTGATTAAACTAAAACAAAAGTATTCAGAGCGCCGTATTAATTGTTAATTTCTTTTTCGGTTAGGACAATTTGGACGAATTCGTGTAATAAAAAATGACAATATTATAAAAATATTAACGTTAAATTTACGACCTAGTTAATCGATCTGTAGCGCCCATTGGTCGTAGGTAATAATAACTGCCGCCTCCACCAACAATCGATGGAAAATTACAAACGACCCGACGGGGAAAACGCGTACTCAAACAACGTCGTATTACAATTTCAGACATGTTGAAATAAATKATTTATAACATAAATTCTATAACGCGATGAGCCCGTTGGTACTTGGACGATGTGTTTGAATAAGCAAAATAATAATAACGACGGAAGTGGACGGTTCACAGATATCGGCGGCCAGAGTCGTGACGTCACCGATAGATAACAATATGGCTGTTGCTCCGCCGGCGCCGTCGTCAACGCTCTACTCGACGCCGTCCTGCGTGTTGCACACACTTGCACGTCCCACCCGGCACCCRCACCGGTGTAGTAATAGTGTACACCGCGTGTACTGCCGCCGGTCCACCGACGCGGCCGCGTCAGTGAGATCGGTAGCGACTAGCGTTTCGTGTCGCCGATCGCTGGCTGGCTGGCTCGGTCGCTTTGTGGACGCACGCACGCACACGTATCACTGCGCGTGCGCGCRCGTCGTTCACACAACGGTTTCTGTCGCCCGACCGACGTCCCGTCCCCGTGTGCCCGTCAGTCGGCCATGGTTTCTTGACGTGCGAGTAGGCTGCCGCGCTACCACAGCCACAGCACACCACCGCTGCACACTGTGCGCTCACACACACACACACACACGGTTCCTCTGTTGTGTATTGTTGTAGTGTACCACCACCGCGTACGTTCTTCGACGCTGCCGCCAATAGTTGTTAAATATTTTAATTTTTGAAAAATATCTCAAACCGTTTCGGTTCCGCGAACGCGACGCATCACGGGAATTCATTTCGTTTTTCACCGGCACGAGCGGTGACGGCAACGGATTTAACAACTTACGGTGCATCGTTCGCAATCCTTGTACGGGACACATCGTTGTTACGCCACAAGGGTGTGCTACTGTTTTTTATCCCCCCGGAGAGCACACAATCGTACCCGTGTATACGGCTCGTTTGAAATGTCTACGTGCCAGACGACGCCATCTTACTGTCGCCATTGAAACGCGTCGGTGTCTGTATCGCGCGTTTGTGTTTCCTGTCCACCCGACGCCACCGGTCGCACCGACGTCTCGGCTGTCCGGCTTCTGTTGCTGTTCTGCCTGCACCTCTTTAACACCGCCGCTGTCGTGTCACTTCAAGATCCGATTTTAGTGGTCGTATACGCGTAACGTCTCCAATCGCCGCCATGTCTAAGGTCAGTTTGAAAACGCGCCGTTACCATCGCCGTTGGTGATGGGGGGTGGGGGGGGAAGAGTGATATGTCATCGATACGACGATGTTTTAATCGGTGTGAGGCTCTTAAGATTTTTTTTCAATACCCAGTTCGCTCTAGTTTTCAGTGTACCATTACTGTGCTATTGATATCGATAACCGAATCAAAAAAAACGATTAGATTTCTGAAGGAGGGTCGTCCCGTCTTTCGCTTCCCGCGTCCCATCTTCGCCGGGCGTGCGTGTCGTCTGAAGGATACAAAATTTAGGGCGCTCGCATAGGTTGATCTTTTTTTTTTTTTTTTTTTTTTTTTTTTTTAATG